GTCATCAATGCTAAGGGTTACTTAATCTAAAGTTGGAGTTAAATCCTGCATGACCCGTATTACTTGAGTGTCTTTGTGCCCCGGCATCCTTACCTATAAAGTAGGGTCAGTAATAGTCATCTAAAATGTGAATTAATACATTTAGGTTGATGCCTTTTGGAGTAAGTGCTGTGAAAAGGTTAGCTGCCATTATGCTCAGCAGTTCTGAAAGCTCCCTCAAGTTAAGAGCTGTGTGTCCTGTTCACTGGGATGTAACCTGTGGCTGGCACCATGCCTGGGGCATAACAGGCTCTCAATACAATCTTGCTCAGTTTCTGCTCCCTTTGACAGACAAGATAATCACCATAGGTTTTAGATTACAGGATCTTAAAATTATGTCAGCAAATAAGGCTTCCCCGGGAAAGTGAAAACTTTACAGACTCAAAGAACAGTGCCTCAGCAGCCCTATGTTTTCCAAGAAGCTCTGGGATTCAGGGCACTGGAAACAGACAGGTAAGCAAGTCTGAGTTCTGGGCTCTGAGCTGGCAAGTCACTTCCCTTCCTTGGGCCCTTAGTGCAATTAATTATGATTGTAAGGTTACTTCCTCAATTTAGAAAAATTTGAAAAGCAATAGCTTCCTTTTGGCAAGTTGAATTTTAAGTTGAATAACAAGTCTCTAGAGTGGACCAGTTCAAGTGGCTGGGAATGAAAGTAAGTTAGCGAATGTCAAAGGTGTGGATTTGTGTTAAAAATATGCATCTATATTTTTGCTGCATTTGAATTCATGAGATTACTTTACCTGCTATTTTTGCTCTCTATGTCATCTTCATTTACAATGCAGAGGGGAGAATGGAAGAAAAAGCCAAAAGCTTTTCTCTGGTGACTCGTGAAGGGAGTAGACTTGACTGTAAATCTACTGTCTTTTTTTATGACCAGGAAAGGGAAATTTATCATGTAGACCAATCTCAAGTGATTTTCAGAAATACAAGATATAAAGTACAATGAGCTGTGAAAAATACCACATATTTGAATGCACTTGAACTCTGCCACTGGCAATTTGCATACCACTGCAAATGGTAGGCCAGTGCTGACTCAGACACATTCTCTCCTGCTCCTTACGGGAATTTCCTGAACTCTTGCTGTAAATGCAGTTTTCATACTGGATGTGAAATGGAAAATAAGATTCACACAGTGACATCTGCTTCCAGAAATTCTGCAGTTCTTGATGTAGTGCACATTGCGGGTAATAATGGATTTTGGGCACACAGTTCAAGACCTGGTTTACACCTGAGAATTCCAACCTGGAAGACCTAACAAAAAGTCTATAATCATTAGAAACGCATTTTGGACTATTTTTCCAAACTTAGATGCCAGCACTTAAATTCCTAGGAAGAATTTGTTAGCAAATTGATAAAGTGAACCTGTATCAGAAATCACATGGCATGTTATTCCTTTAACAGTTAAAATTCCACATTGAGCTCATTATCTTCTCCCACAAATCTATTTTTTCTCATATTCTTTTTTGAATTAGTGACAATAGTAAGCTCCCACTTATCAAAGTTTAAAATAATACTCAGCTTCCACTAATCTTTCTTCTTGTCTGTTTTCATCTTACCATTTGCAAAGTACTCTTGTGTCCAGAGACACCATACGAAGCAAGTAGATTTTTCTTAGACGTTGGAATTTCACAGACCAGAAAATTTTCAAAATAACTTTGAGGAGACAGAGTTACCTTTTTTTGGCCAGGTAATTGAGACCAAAGAAATATTGGGTTGGAACCTATGAATTTGCCATTTTGTAAGTCAAAGAAATGGTCAAATATTAGAGAGGGTCCCACCCATTGAAGTCCTCTCCTTCCATTTACTACTATATATTATTACCATAATGTCATATGGCAAGAGCCATTTCAACACTAAAAACTTGGGTAGGACACAGTGTTAAAGAGCAGTCCTTTAAATTAAATTCTCAATGTGGTTATTATTTTTCACATTTCCCACAGATCAATGGAGACAGTTACGGATCCACGAGTCAACTGAATAACTAGTTAGTGTTACTGAATTGAGGAGAAAGCCTGGACTTTGGAGTCTGACAGGTGTTCATATCTTTGCTCTTCTGTGTATAGGTTATGTGCTCTATGACAAATCAGACTTTTCTAAAGTCCAGTTTTTCTGTGGTTTGATACCAATTATCTCTAGCAGAGGCTGTGTGGCATGATCAGGCATGTGGGTCAAACATATAAGGCTTCAAATCCTTACTGTGGCACTTACTGCCCCTAAGCCTTTGGGCACGTGAATTAATTTTGGGAATACTCAGGTCCCTCATCTGCAAATGGAGATAATAATAATGCTTTATTATGAGGAGGGTGAAGATAAGACACTCTGTTCAGTTTCTAACAAATAAGTGCTCAACAAATGATGGATGATATTACTACTACTACTGCTGCTGCTGTTTTTTATCAGAATAAATGAGATAATGTTTTAAAGTGTCTACTACAGTGACAGGGACATAATGATTAGCCATTAAATAATACTGCAAACTGTTATCCAAAATGGTTGTACCACTTTACATTCCTACCAGCAAGATATGAGAGCTCAAGTTTCTCCCCATCTTTGTCAGCTCCTGTTATTATTTGTCTTTTTTTTTTTTGAGAGCCATCGTAGTAGGTGTAAACTAGTATCTCATTATGGTTTTGATGTGTATTTCTCTACCAGTTAATGAGATTGAGTATCTTATGTGCCTACTTGCCATTTAAATATCTTCAGAGAATGCCTACTGAGATCTTTACCCAATTTTTAGTTGAGTTGTCCTTATAATTAGTATCTATAACAGCACAGAGAAAGAGATGAATAAGAACAAAGGAAACATAAACTGGCTTTACATCAAAGCAGAAAATTATGAAATTGGACAGGGTTAGAGATCCAGGTGGTAGCAAGAATAGAGGTCAGCTACTGATTAAAAAAGAAAACAAAACAAAACAACAAACCCCCAGCACTACCCTGACTGGTGTGGCTCAGTTGGTCGGGCATCGTCCCACAAAGCAAAAGGTTGCTGGTTTCATCCCTGGTGAAGGCGCATGCCTGAGCTGTGGGAACGTGTACGGGAGGCAACCGACATATGTTTCTCTCTTACATTAATGTTTCTCTCCCTCTCTTTCTCCCTCCTTTCCCTTCTCTCTAAAAATAAATAAATAAAATCTTTAAAAAAAAGAAAAAAAAAAGCAGCACTATCTCTTCCTGTTCATCTCTCACTCCTTCCTTCCAACCTAACTACTGAACTTCTAAAGGCAGCAAGTGGGTATGAACACTTGTCCCTGAATATCTCAAGCCCTTTAAGAAGCTCTGATAGTTTTGTTCATCACTGAATCCTCTGCACACAGCATTGTCTGACATACAAGAGATATTCAATTGATATTTGCTATTTGAATAAATAGATCACAGTGATATTTCTGATATTTCAAGAAAAGCTGTCTATGTGAACTACATAGTGAAGAGCAGATGGGCTTCAGAGGCAAAGGGAACTGGGTTTGGGCCCCAGCCACACCACCTACCAGCAATGGCACCTTAGGAACAGGCTTGCCATCTCTTAGTCTCAGTACCTTATCAATAAAGGAGGGCTTACAATATGGGTATCACTGGGTTAAATAAGATAACCAGTTTGAAACTGCCTGGCACAGGTTAACTTCTCAAAAAAAAAAAAAATACTCATCGAAGTGTTGTAAAAGGTAAGTTTCAGTATCTTTAACCATCTGTTTCTATGCCACAGTTTTCTATGTTGGAGTTCAAGATTTAGACAAAAGAGAATGAAAGTCACCAAGTTCAGTTCCCAGTGTAATTTCTTGTCCTTTGACTTCGTTTTTGTTCTATGTCTGTATCTCTCTGAGAGGCAGTAGTACACAATGATTTAAAGTGCAGCCTTCAGCCTCAAAGTGCATGGAACCTGGATCCAGGCTTCACTGGCTGATTGAAGCAATTTATTTAATGTTTCAATGACTCAGTTTCCTCACATCTTAAATGGGAATAATATTAGTACTAACCTCATAGGACTGTTATATATATGAGTTTAGAATAATGCCTGGCACATATGTATTCAATAAATGCTGTCTATTATTAGAAGGAATTACATTTTTGGGGTTAAAAAATTTGCTTCAGTTTTTCAAGTTACACCTTAATGGTTCACTTAGAACAGCTATTCTTTATATGGCTAACCTTTAATGTTTTAATCAGAATAACATCATCATCAATAACAACAATTTACACTTATACAATGATTCACATGTACTCCGGCATGGTTCTATATAGTACTTTATAGTTATTAACTCCTTACAACAACCCTTTGTTTCTTTCTCCCATTTTACAGATGCAAATAGTGAGGCACAGAGAGATTAAGTTATCTGCCTAAGGATATATATTACTAGTAAATGGAACTATTACTAGTAAATGGTAGTAATAAGGATATATTACTAGTGAAAAAGTACCATTTACTATTAATATATCCTTATTACAAATCCTTAGAACAAGGATTTGAATCCAAGTAGTCTGACTCCAATGATTGCACCCTTTTAAAAAAAATTTTTTTAACCTTTTCTTTAAAAAAAATTTCATTTATTTTTTTTTGAGAGATGGTAAAGGAGAGAAAAGGAGAGGGAGAGAAACATCAATGTGTGGTTGCCTCTCACATGCCCCCAACTGTGTACCAGGCCTGCAACCCATGCATGTTCCCTTACTGGGAATCGAACCAGCGACCCTTTGGTTTACAGACCAGCACTCAATCCAATGAGCCACACCAGGCAGGGCTGCACTCTTAACAATTTAGTTACCCTGCCTCAAAAGAGTATATTACATGAACACAGATATTCCCAATATGATAAAAACATAGCTTTATACCCAAAAGATTAAAATAAATATTTTATGAGTTCATGATCTTCTAGGTCAAAATACCAGGGAGTCAAGGGCCCTTCAGGATGAGTCCTAGTTCTTCCAATTTCTAGTTTTGGGACCTTCAGTGAGAGATTAAGGTCTCTGTGCTCGCTTCAGCAGCACACATGGTCAAACTGGAGCGATACAGAGATTAGCATGGCCCCTGCGCAAGGATGACACGCACATTCATGAAGCGTTCCATAATAAAAACATTAAGATCTCATCTATAAGCCTGGGATAAATAATTCCTGCCCTACTTACAGTTTTATTTGAGGGATAAAATTGAATAAGGTCAAACAAAATACCATTTTAGAAAAAACTTTAGATATTAATAAATTAAGCTAGTGAGGTAATAGATGAGATTTTGTTTTGCAAATTGCAAGGTTCTGCACAAATAGTTTATTTCAAAGTTCCTTTCAAAGGGCTTAAAATATATTCTCAACAGGCTCTCACCTAGAATCTGAAATAGATTCCAGACACTTCCCTGCCTCCAGTCTCTCACAACTGGAATCTATGCTTCACAAACAATCATCTGATCAGTTGCTTAAAAAACAAGTTGTTCTTCCTTTAAAAACATTTTAGAGCAATCTAATATATACTTATTTTATTATAAATAAATAAAGTTACTAATCCTTGGCTGTGAATCTGGCGACTACTGAGATATGAACCAATGCCAACCATAACTGAAGAGGGAAATAGCACTGGAATATGTGTGGACCCATGGTTCCATCTTAGATCTGAAATAGGTAATCTTGGAGAATTAATTTAGTAGCTCTTTGGAATACAGTTTCTTATAGGTAGCACCTTGTGTGTATATGCATCTATCTGGTTATAGAGACGTTTATTGAACACGGGGCACATAAAGATGAATAAATAAATCTATAATCCACAGCACACTGTCCCTTCAGCTCTATGGTTCTACTGTCCAAATTCCATTGCTCATTGTTACCCTAAGACGCCCAATCCTTACACGCTACCTCCCTAGCCCACCCTGTCTGATTCGCCTGGTAAAGCTCCCATTTATGCCACCTTCAGCAGTCAACTGCTTTCTCATTTTTACAGGTTCAGCTTAAAGGCCATGACTCCAAGAAATCTTCCCTAATCCTTGAATGAGATGGTTTTCCTTCCATTTTTAAACTTCTGTAACATTGTGGGGTTTTTTTCCCCTCTCTCTTTAACACACTACTGCCTGATTTGATTTTCCAGACACAAATTCTGTTATCCTCCCTGATGCTAGAGGGTAAGCTGCGTAGGAGCAAGGCCTGTGTCTTTCTCCTGGTCACCTCTCCAGAAGCCAGCGCAGCGCTTACTGAGACGTGCCCCCACAGGAAGCAAGCAAGCAATGTTAGAGAGTTAGAGCTTGCTGTTGCCAAATATCTTGACATAAACTAACGTAAAAAGAGTCACGTGCTGTCCTCTGATGTGGCGCATCCAGCAGCATTCCCAGGGCGGGCGCAGTGCAGAGCAGCTTGCACCAATCTTGTAACAGAAACAACCCTATGAGGCCTAGTGATTGTGAGCTACTAATACTTTATAACAAGCTGATACTCATGAATATGTTAGCTGCATGAAATTTTTACCTACAAAAACAGCAATTTCATATCATTCAATCTAATAGTTTGCTAATTTTTATATTATCTATCTTCTTTCCCTCTGTCTACCCTGGAATGAGTCCCCACGAGGGCAGGCATTTTTGTACACTGTATCTCCAGTGCCTGAAACATAGTGACATCAGGCAAATATTTGTCAAATTAATGAATGAACTTCCTAAACACTATTTGCCTTATACTCTACGACGTTGTTTCTTCATAATATTCTGACTACTGTTGTTTCTTTATAATATTGTGATTACTGTTATTCTTCAGATGAGGACACTGAGGCTTGGTGAAGTTAAGTAATTTGCCTAACACCACACTCCTAACCAATACTTTATGCTAGGCCAACTATACTTATCCTATAAAGCTGCACTAATTCAGGCTATCTTTCCTTAATTGTCTAGAACAAGCATAGATTCTATTGGAAACGGTGAGACAGAAGCCTCAGAATACCACAGAGAGAGGGATGTGGCGAGGGCAGGGGAAGAAGAAAGACACAAGCCAGTGGGTTTGGGGAAGGCTCTTATGCTCGGTGAAATACAGTGAAACAACATGTGAAAATCATCCTTGGCCCTTCAGGTCCTCTGCCTGAGTGTGGGGCTCTTCAACTGTCTGGAGACTTAGAGCCCCATCACTGGCATTGCTTCCTTTGGAACAGGGTGTGAGCGACGGACAGCGTCTGCCTGCAGCCTGCAAGGGAGCCTCTTTGGGACTACCAGACTCTTGCAGCAAGTTCTCACCCTTTTTACCACGTCCTTTGTGGATGAAATTGGAGGCCCCTATTTACAAAAAAAGCCCCCACAAAAAACAATGCTGTTGCTTTAAAAGACTTTTCCTTAACCTATCTATGGAGCTATACTGTCAAGAAGAACAAGTTAATAGTATTTGTAAATGAAGGAGCTTTGAGATTGAAATTTGTTAATGTTACTCATTCCCCTTCAGTTTAAATATACAGTTTATCTTTCGGGAAGGGAAGAGTGTAATCTCAGAACATCCTGTTCAAGAACAATGGTCAAAATCTGTTAGCCCCAGTATTCTCAACGCTACGGTTCTCAGGCCCCAGGTGATGTTTGTTCACGAGTGGCCCACTATAATTTCCACTCTTGCTGAAACGTCCTTTCCCTTCAGCCTGACAGACCCAGTTCACTTTCTAGAACATGGAATCTACACCCAGTCCCAATATATATTTTCTGAAAGTTGAAAGGAGATACATGGATGACTTCTAAAACTCCCTGAAGTAAAATAAATAACTCTGTGCTGTCATGAAATCAGAGTGACCCTCCTAAGTGAATAATTCTTTGAGATTTGTAAGTCATTTAGAAACACAGAGAGAAAAAAAGGCCATGTTTCTTTCTGGAACTTGAGGTCCATCCCTGAAGTGCTAGGTTACCAAACACAAAGGTGGGGTTATGAACAAAGGCATGGGAGTCAGACCAAAGGGGACCAATCTCCAGGTCTACAACATCTCAGTGAGTGGTCTCTGGCAAGTTAGTTAACATCTCCTACCCTCAGTTTCCTTGTGTGTAAAAGAAAGTTACCTTCACCTCCATTATAAGAATCCAAGAATCAGAAACTACCTGGTACACAGAAGTTCAATCAACACTAAAGAAAATATTGCCCTGGCGGTGTGGCTCAGTGGATTCAGTGCCAGCCTGTGAACTGAAAGGTCGCAGGTCTGATTCCCAGTCAGGGCACAACCTGGGTTGTGGGCCACGCCCCCGGCTGGGGGAGTGTGGGAGGCAAGCGATCTCTCACACAATGATATTTCTCTTCTTCTCTGTCTCCTTCCCTTCCCCTATCTCTAAATAAATAAATAAATAAAATCTTAAAAACAAATTGCCCCAGCTGGTAGTGGATTGAGTGCCAGCCTGTGAACCAAAAGATCAGTCAGGGCACATGCCTGGGTTGTGGGCCAGGTGCCTGGTTGGGGGCTGTGTCACTCTCTCATAAAACAATGTTTTCCCCCCTCTCTGTCTCCCTCCCTTCTCCTCTCTCTAAAAATAAATAAAATCTTTTAAAAAATAATAAAAGAAGAAAATATCAAGCATTATGATACATAAGGAGGAAGAGTTCTCTAAACTGCCTCTTTCCTAATACTCTAGCACCTGGGTAGGACTAAGTATATTTTTCCTATGAATCAATGGAACAAATTTAACACCTATTTCTATGCTTCTACGATTAATTCGGCTTTGTCCTAGGCGTAAAGACACCCACTATTTAAAAAGATTTATAAGAGAGATTGCTTTTTTAGTCTCAGACAGCACAACTCAAGTGTGAGGAAAGTGGGAGAATATGCTATTCTGTGGAGTGAATGAGTCATACAGTATGTGGAACAGCTTCCTGTCTCAGGGATTAAGACTCCTAGGGAAGAAAATACAACAGTTGATCCCTTTTAAAGTGGCACAAAATATAAATAATACATCCCTAAAAAGAACACTGGATGAGAAAACCACCCAGGATTCTCACCAGTCTGGAGCTCTCACTGTCAGACAGTTGTTTCGTACCAACTCCGAGACTGCCGTCTTCCTCGCCACTAACAGGGTCGGTGCCACTCTGCTCCTAGAAGACATTAAAAAGAAAACGGCAAAGATGTCATTCTTCACTCACAGTGACCTGAACTGCACACACAATCATAGTTTGTTTATTATTATAGTGGATATTGTTTTCTCTCCAGAAGCTCTTCCTGTTTTCTTTCTTTCCAGCAGAAGGCCTTCCCCCGCCCCCCCCCCCCGCCCCGGCATCTACCTCTATTGCTCACAGATATGCCTTAGAAAAAGCTGATCCCCACTTTCTGTTCCAAGAAGCCTGACTGCTTTAAGGTTAATCCCATTCTTTTTGCCAATGATTTTCTAAGGAAATGGTAAATGATCCAGTTCTAGTCAATGAGACGCAAAAAGAGGTTTGCTGGAGACTTCTGGAAAAGTCCTTTCTTGATTTTAAAAGAACCACAGGAAGCTCCATGCACTTCAAATAAACAAGAAAGCATGAAGCTCAAAATGTCACCGCCAGCCACCCCACAACTGAGAGGACACCAGAGGAAACATGGTCAACGGCAACAAAGACAGGGATGGAAAGAATCGGTTCCCTGATGGAAAGACCTGGGCCACTGGATCAAGTAAACCTGCAGATCAGCCTTATCCTGAGCGGTATTCTCAGGAGAACTAATAAGTTTACTTACTGTTTTACCCACTTACAGTTAGCTATTTGTTCCTTCCAGCCAAAACTTTCTGAGACATTTGTTTATTTTCTGTATAAGGCAGAACTATTTGAGATAAGAGACTGTATTTATCTTATTGATCTCTGAAACTCAAGTACCTAAGCACCTGTCTGGGACATGGAAACAGTTGACAAATATTGGTTGAACCAATAAGTGAACTTGGTTCAATAAGTGAGTGCTTGTTTTCTGGATGATTCTTCCTGCAGAATCTTAAAAATATTTATTTAATATAAGTGAGACATATCATAATGATAACACCAATTAAAATCCCAAAACACATCAGGTATTTCTGCAATTGAATTATGACATTAAATGCTCTAGTTAATCAACCAGAAGTTTCTTTGCCTTCTAAGGGCACATAAAGGAGAATAAGGAGAACAAATGAAGTATCTTGTG